GCCACCTCATCTTCAAAGCTCTAAGCTCTGTCATGGTCCCAAAAAATAATTGATTAGTCATGCATCATTCCAAGTTTCTCCTTCTTCCTAAGCACTAGCAACAAAAGAATAATGCAATCATGTTCTGTAAGATCCATTTGATCTTGCAACAAGACACATGTGCAAGAAATCAAGTAACTTTCCTCAAACATTGAACTAACATTGATCTTCACCAAAATCCCTGAAACTAATCAAATGAGTACACAATACAGTAAACTGTTCTTTCAAAATGAGCAAAAAACTCAGTAAAGGATCAATTTTTAAGAGAGAATATGAAAGATTTAAGCAACGAACCTCAAAGACAAGCATGGCGTCTTGATTAGTTCCTTTCTTGCCTTGTTGTGTGTAAAGACATGCAGTCTTACTTGAACCATTTGAAACCAACTGACCAACAATCTGTTGAATCCCTTCTTTTTCACCGTCGCCTTTTAAATCTCTCGGCCGTCGCCACCGTCCGGAACCTAACCTATCCTCCGCCGTCTCCGTCGTAGTGGCGGTGGTGCTTGTTTCACCTGGTTCCTTACCAGTGGTTCTATCTACTGAATAACACAGACCCATTTTGTAGAATCCGGAGAAAAAGCTTCAAGCTTTAGAGAAAGAAAAAAAAACAATTTTTGAAATCGCCGATTGAAAATCTACGATTTTTCTGGGGGTTTTGTCGGCAATGATTTACGGTATGATTTCCTCAAGGAAGGAGGCAACGAGAAAAACGAAATCGAGAAAAGAGCTTAAAAAGCTCAAAAAACGAAACTTGGCTTCTACAAAATCCACTCACAACTTTAGCTTTTTTTAGCTTTAGCTTTTAGGACCTGGTTTTTTCAAAATTTTCTCGGGAAAACTGCAATTTTCTCGGGTAAAAAGACTCGTACTTTAGCATTGCAAGAATCAAAAAGGAAAAAGAGAGAGAGAGAAAACAGCACATTTCACATCTGTACAAAAATCAAGTTCTTGTGAATTGATTTTACGATTTTTTTGAACATAGTGATGCTAATACTTGCAGACCCACAAAGCCCAACGTTTACTTACTCCACTTTCTCGTTGAGAGAATTATAAAAATCGAAAATTTTGTGTTGTAATGCAAAAGAACAATT